TTTGCCATAGCTCTCCTCCCCAGGAGCAAGCGTCTTTTAATTTCTTGGCTGCAGTCCCCATCTGTGGGGATCTTGGTGCCCAGGAAAATAAAATCTGTCACTACCTCCATTTCTTCCCCATCTCTTTGCCAGGAAGTGAGAGGACCGGATACCATGATCTTAGTTTTCTTAATGTTGAGTTTCAAGCCAACTTTTGTGCTCTCCTCCTTCACCCGCATCAAGAGGCTCTTTAGTTCCTTTTCACTTTCTGCCATGAGAGTGGTATTATCTGCATATCTGAGGTTGTTGACATTTCTCCCAGCAATCTTAATTCCAACTGGTGATTCATCTAGCCCCGCCTTTCTCATGATGTCCTCTGCGTATAAGTTAAATAGGCAGGGCGACAGTATACAGCCTTGCCAAACTCCTTCCTCAATTTTGAACCAATCAGTGGTTCCGTGCCCACTTCGCACTGTTGCTTTTTGACCCACATATAGGTTTCTCAAGGGACAAATAAGATGGTCTGGTACTCCCATCTCTTTAAGAAGTTGCCACAATTTGTTGTGATCCACACAATCAAAGGGTTTAGCATAATCAATGAAGCAGAAGTAGATATTTTTCTGGAACTCCCTAGCTTTCTCCATGATCCAGCATATGTTGGCAATTTGATCTCTAGTTCCTCTCCCTCTTTGAAATCCTGCCTCTGCTTCTGGTAATTCTCAGTCCACATACTGCTGGAGCCTAGCTTGTAGGATTTTGAGCATAACTTTGCTAGCATGTGAAATGAGTGCAATGGTGTGGTAGTTTGAACATTCTTTGGCATTGCCCTTCTTGGGGATCAGAATGTAAACTGACCTTTTCCAATCCTGTGGCCACTGTTGAGTTTTCCAAATTTGCTGGCATATTGAGTGTAGCACTTTTACTGCATCATCTTTTAAGATTTTGAATAGCTGAGCTGGAATGCTGTCACCTCCACTAGCTTTGTTGTTGCTCAGACTTCCTAAGGCCCATTTGACTTCACATTCCAGGATGTCTGGCTGGAGGTCAGTGACCATCCCATTGTGGTTATCGGGGACATTAAGCTCTTTCTTGTATAGTTCTTCTGTGTAATCTTGCCACCTCTTCTTAATCTCTTCTGCCTCTGTTAGGTCCCTGCCATTTTGGTCCTTTATCATGCCCATCTTTGCATGAAACATTCCCTTCATATCTCCAATTTTCTTGAAGAGATCTCCGCTCCTCCCTATTTTATTGTTTTCTTCTATTTCTTTGCACTGTTCATTTAAGAAGGCATTCTTATCTCTTCTAGCTATCCTCTGGAATTCTGTATTCAATTGGGTGTATCTTTCTCTTTCTCCCTTGCCTTTTGCTTCCTTTCTTTCCTCAGCTATTTGTAAAGCTTCCTCAGACAGCCATTTTGCTTTCTTGCATTTCTTTTTCTTTGGGATGGTTTTAGTTGCTACCTCTTGTACAATGTCATGAACCTCCGTCCATAGTTCTTCAGGCACTCTGTCTATCAGATCTAATTTCTTAAATCTATTTGTCACCTCTACTGTATATTTATCAGCGATATGATTTAGGTCATAGCTGAGTGGCCTAGTGCTTTTCCCTACTTTCTTCAACTTAAGTCTAAATTTTGCAACCAGAAGCTCATGATCTGAGCCACAATCAGCTCCTGGTCTAATTTTTACTGACTTTATAGAGCTTCTCCATCTTTGGCTGCAGAACACATAGTCAATCTGATTTTTGTGTTGACCGTCTGGTGATGTCCATGTGTAGAGTCGTCTCTTGGGTTGTTGGAAAAGAGTGTTTGCTATGACCATCGTATTCTCTTGACAAAATTCTACCAGCCTGTGCCCTGCTTCATTTTGTACTCCAAGGCCAAACTTGCCTGTTATTCCAGTTATCTTTTGGCTTCCTACTTTAGCATTCCAATCCCCCATGATGATAAGGACATCATTTTTTGGAGTTAATTCTAGAAAGTGTTGTAGGCCTTCATAGAACCGGTCAGCTTCAGCCTCTTCAGCATCAGTGGTTGGGGCATAGACTTGGACTATTGTGATGTTGAATGGTTTGCCTTGGATTCGAACTGAGATCGTTCTGTCATTTTGGAGATTGTATCCCAGTACTGCTTTTCCTACTCTTTTATTGACTATGAAGGCTACTCCACTTCTTCTGAGGGATTCTTGCCCGCAGTAGTATACCTGATGGTCATCTGAATTAAATTTGCCCATTCCTGTCCATTTTAGTTCACTGATTCCTAAGATGTCGATGTTCAGTCTTGTCATCTCTTGTTTGACCACATCCAGCTTGCCTTGATTCACGGATCTTACATTCCAGGTTCCTATGCAGTATAGATCTTTGTAGCAACAGACTTTCCTTTCACCACCAGATACATCTGCAACTGAGTGTCCTTTCGGCTTTGACCGAGTTGCTTCATTCTTTTTGGTGCTACTAGTACTAGCCCTCTGCTCTTCCCCAGTAGCATATTGGACACCTTCTGACCTGAGGGGCTCATCTTCCGGCGTCATAACTTTTTGCCTTTTGGTACTGTCCATGGGGTTTTCATGGCAAAGATACTGGAGTGGGTTGCCATTTCCTTCTCCAGTGGCATGTACAGTGGGGCTAATGAGCAGACAGGGATACTGTCTGGTATTTCTAATGGACTGAATGAAAGTGAATAAATTGAGGCTTATTTCTGACAAAGCAGATAAAGGAATTCAGCTTGTGTTGGAAAGAGTTACATTCTCCTTTAAGACTTGGGTTTGCCGTTTGAGTGTATTCTTTGGTTCAGTCCTGAATGTGGACTGGCCAGGTTACAGCTGCAACTTGGAATGTATTTGCAGAGCTATGGCTAGTGTACCATTCCTGGAGTTATCTGGCCACGCATATCTTAGTTACATCCTGTTTGGTCTACTTCAACTTGTTTTGCATGAGACTACCTGAAAAAAATGTTCAGAAACTTCAGTTGGTCCTAAATGTTGCAGCCAGACTTTTGCCTGGGGTTAGCTATAAAGAACTTGTTGCTACCACTCTATTTCAAGGCACAATTCAAAAAGAGTGATTATAACCTATAAAGCCCTTATACAGCTTGGGACCTACATGACCCTGCTTTGATTTTAGAAAGCCTCAGGTGAGGCACTGCTCGTCATTCTGTCACTGTCAGAGACAGGAACACAAGAAGGGGCCTTCTCTGTGGTTACTTTGGAATTCCCTGCCAAAAATGGCCAGCTCCATGTCTGTCATTCTTCGGCCACATGCAAATGCATTTATTTCCACTGGGTTTTCGCTTCTAAGTTGATTCACAATCATACTGGGTTTTTAACCTGTTTGGTGCTACTATACCTTAGCAACCCAGGAAGGTGTGTGTTACAGTCAGACTCTTGGCCCATCTAACCCAGTATTGTCTCCATGGTTTCCAGCAGGAGTTTTTCCAGTCCTGTCTAGAGAGGCCAGGGATCAAGCCTGGAGCCTTCTGCATTCAGAGCAAGGGCTCTTCTTCCCTGTTAATGCAGTTTTACTTATCTCTATTTTTTTTGTGCTTCATTTGATGTGCTTTGTTGGAAGTGGCCTTTAATTGAATCGTTTTAATGATAACTGTCATTTTTATCTGGAGTTTATCACTGGCCACTCTTAGCCCTGTTTTAATGGAAAGGCAAGCTATAAAATATTAAGTATTTGCAGCAATATTTTATTTTATTGTTTCTCTTTTGTTTAAGTTTGGATTTTGATTTTGAAAAATCACAATAAGAATAAGCAAAATTAAATAATTTATTAAATGAAATATTTGTCTTGCAGTTTAAGTCTGAATTTGCAAAGAGGTTGTCAACCCAATTTTGAGGCAATATTAGACTGGATTTGTGGTGTAAGATAAAGCTTTACTGAATAAACTTTAGTAACCTTTTTAGAAGTATTTTAGAAGTATTTTAGAATCCTTTGTTGGCTGAAGCCATACCTACCAACAAAATAACCTATTGATCTACATGCAAATATGTACTTCAGTTAAGGTGTTTTTTGTCCTGGAAGTAAGCAATTCTGCATAAAAAGCCAGCAATATAAATTGTATGTCCTAATTTCTTGCCCTAGGCCTCTCTTTTTGAACCCCCTTGACTTCTATCTTGTTGAGGTAAACCTCCAGAGCACGGTAGCACACTGTGGCTCAAACGGAATATTAATAGAAGTCAAAAATAGATGAGAATAGCACTACAGAGGGTGTGAATTTGTCTCTTCCACTGTGTTTCTTCTGCAATTTTCTTCTCCTTCTTCTTGTTTGTCGTTGCATTTTTTAACCTTCCAGTGTTTGTTTTTACTTATTTTGTAGAGACCAAATGAGAGGCTTAGTACACTGCCTGAAAGACCGAGGGAAGAAACAGTAGTGTTGGACGAAACCCCGGTTAGTATATATCAGTATTCCAGAAATGCTGTTTTGCTAAAATTGCCTTGCTGCACAGGGAGGGACTTCATCACTGAAGGCTTTTGGAGCCTACTGGGCCAAGGTATGGGAGGCTTCTGGGGCAGAAAGGCAGCCTGGAAACCAGTCCACTGTAGTTATCAGGGTGTTCGGAAACGATCAGAGTGATATAAAGGCTATAAAGTTTTCACCCAGTGAACTAATCAGAGAAGTTTTAATTGGCTTAATTTGCCCACAATTACATTGACCAAAAACATCACTGCAGTAAAAGATACCCTTTCCTTTTGAATGCTATATACATATGTTGCAGTATCTACCATTTTAGAAGAGGCATTCTTCACCATATAGGGTGGAATGCTCTTCATGACGACGTGTCACAGGTATCTTTTTTCTGCTTGTTGCTCAATGTATCTTTTTTCAGTTATTTTAAAGGGAGATGTAATTGATGTATCTAATTGATTTAATTAAAAGTTACATCCCTAAAAAGGTAAGATGAGCTGTAAGATTGTTTTTTTTTTTAAATAAACCTTGTGTTATATCCATCTACACAGAAAGTGAATATAATATGACCCTAAAACTACCTTCCCAGACCTGGTACTTTTGGACTACAGCTCACAACCTTTCTGACCACTGGCCATGTTGGTTGGACTTGCTGGTGGTTGAAGTCTAAGGAGGGCCAGGCTGTGTAGGTCTACCTTAAAAGTTAGTTTTTGCTAGGCTGCTCTTCTGAGAGGTACATTTATCCATCTATTGGGGGTTTTTTCATGTATAGTGCTTTGTGCAAAAGATCTAGTTCTGCAACTCCTCCTTCACTTCTGTTGGTAATCACTCTGTTTTTGTATAGGCTCAGCAGTCATCTCCTCCTCAAACGCAAACAACAAGTGATATCAAATTTGAGGTTGGGGATCTCGTCTGGTCCAAAGTGGGGACATATCCATGGTGGCCCTGCATGGTCTCAAGTGATCCACAGCTTGAGGTTCATACCAAAATCAACACAAGAGGTAAGGAAGTAAAACCTCTGAGTAGGTTCATTAGAAGCTTGCTATGAATGGCCAGTTTACATGGTGACTTCGTTAATGCCTCCCGTCGACTTCCAATGTATGTTGGTTGATGTAGCATCTCTTAAAAGGGCACTGCCTGATCAATAATCAATGTTGGCCAGGTTGATAGTTTAGGAAAGAGAATGGCTACAGGTAACATGAAATACCCCAGTGATGATCATTATACTTGACATGTCTGCAGTGCATTTCAAGTGTTCAGAGCATGTTACCTTTATTATCTTAGTAACTCCTGTGCACACTAGAGAAAACTGCTCCAAGTGCTGATGGGCAGCCAGCAGGCTGGATGTTGCTCCTGGAGCATTTTCATCTAATCCCAGTGCCCTGTTTTATTTCAGTTGAACTACAATAGAAGGCTATCATATCAAGCGAAATAAGATAGGGAAAGATCCCTACTATATTGCAGCTTGGTTCTTGTAAGCAGCTTGTAAATGTAAGCACTTTGGCGGAATGGTCAGTGTGAGTTCCGTTATTCACAAAGCACTTTAAGCTAGATTATTATGAAGCAGCAGAACATGCATCTTTTGCCCAGACTGCCAGTCGAAGATGAGCATGACTCCCAGTAATGCAGAACTAGGTTGCCTTGGTCCAGGTGGAAAGCAGATCATGGAATAGGATTGGCTTAACCACACCCCAGAGGTTTGGTACATGATGATGTAGGACTGGCTGAGGAATTACAAACGCTTCAATATTTTTTCCTTTTTCACTACAGTGATGTAACTTGGGTCAGTAGACCCAGGCTGTCAGTGGAAGCTCAGTCACAGATAGTTGCTTGATGGAACTTAATGCGAAAGGCACTTTTTGTTCCTTAAGTGGCCTTGCAAACAATTATTGTAGGTTAGCACATAATAACTTGGTTCATGTGACACAGCCAGGTGGCTGTGTGTTACTTAACATACGTTGAGCTGCTGTACATGCCAAGTGCACATGGATGCCCTTTTCAATATGCCTCTGCCAACTGGGGTGATTAGAGGTTGCAGCATCTCATGCAAACTCAGACATCCTGGGTTATTTGAGGTTGCGAACCTTCACATATGCCTGGGTTGCACTGCAACTCATTATGTGTTAAATAACCCACAGTGAGCCTCACAATGGGCTCCTCCCTTGAAATGCAAATGCATTGCAGGTGGTTTGTCAGAGGTAGTCAGGGGGAGTTAAATACTGTTCTAAGGCTCTGTAAGCTTTTCTGTGGCTGCTTGACTTAACTACATGTGTGTGTGTGAATGACCGTTACCATGCAGCCAACATCTCCTATAGTTTGGCTGTGAGGTGATGATTTCCATGGTTTTATTTATTTATTTATTAAAACATTTTTATGCCGCCCCATTCGCCGAAGCCTCGGGGCGGCTTACAACATAGATAAAACAAGTTAAAATCCATATAAAATAATCTTAATTAAAACACACATTATAAAATAAGCCGCCCTGGCCAGATAAAATTCAATTGTATTTAGCATTTAAAATGTTGCTTAAATAAAAAGGTCTTAGCCTGGCGCCGAAAAACAAGGGTTATTGCCCTTGTGCTCCTGAATCCCAGTGATGGAATGCTGACCATCCCTCAGGAATCGTTTACAAGCTACAGTTAATATTATGTCTAGTTTGGCCCTGGATGTATTCTCCTACATAAAAATGAGTAGCCATGAAAACCACAAAGCTTTAGAGTGAATCCTAGCATAGTGCTTCTGACACAATGTTAATGTTTAGCAACTCCTACTGTTAAAAGATAAACTGGAGCACCTTACTATCTGTGCAGCTCAAAATGGCGTGGGAGTTTATTTATTCCAAAATGTGAAGGAAAATTGTGTTGGTGGAATTTCTTAACAGAATGCTTTCTTTCACTTTCAGGTGCACGAGAATATCATGTTCAGTTCTTCAGCAACCAGCCCGAGAGGGCATGGGTGCATGAAAAGCGGGTGCGAGAGTACAAGGGACGTAAACAGTACGATCAGTTGGTGGCAGAGGCTGCTAAGCAAGCCAACCACTCTGAAAAACAGAAGGTGTGTATAATCTGAAATGATGCGATTTTGCCAGTGGGGTGAGAGAATAACGACTGAACTGGCACAAGATAATAGGGATTGTTTTCTTGTACTGATAGTCTGCCGCTCAGATTCTTCTTTAGCTAGCCTCTCTCAAAGGTGAAGAGCTCTTTAAGCAAAAGAAATAAAGGGTCTTGTCGTGGCGATGATCAGCACTGTCTTGTGTAGTGTCAAGCCACACCAAACCTGTGGCTCAAGACATAGCATTTTCCATGTATTCCATTTATAGTAAATACAAAATTGCATTAAAATCCCCTTCTGCTGCGAGATGGTAGAAAAATAAAATCGATGGATAGGAAAAGGGCAAGTTAAAGGTGTTTTACACCTACCTTATCACAACATGTAGTAAGGGCTAAGACAGGGATGGCAGGCTTCAGTCTTGCTGTATCTTCTTTATTTTTTACACAATCTCCCATGATCCACCCATCAGAGTCAGGAACAAATGGCATAGACCTGAATCATGCGTAATGGTGTGATGCATGCCTAGTGCATTTTGCAGTCATTTTGAATATTCATTTGGGGAATAATTAGGAGCTGCTGTGTGACATCTGAACCTAGGCATTATAGATTAATCATAGGTTAAGCAGCCCACAAATAGTCTGCAAATAGTAGTTAGGTTATCTGCTGGTTGTTTAATCTATGATTAACCTATAGTGTTCAGGTTTGAATGTCCTGCAGCAACATCACTTGGGGGTCGAATATTCAAAAGGCCATGGAATGTGCCTGGCATGTGCTATAGAAAATTACAGATTCTTTAATTCCAAGCTGCATAAACTTAGACTTAAATAGCAAGGTGTTATTTAAACATTTGGAAGGAGATCAAACATTTGATTCACATTTTAAATCTCAGATTTTCTTAAAGTTACAGGACTTGGGTTATAGTCCTCTCCTGGTTACCTCAAGTTTTCTTCATTTCAGCTACCTAGTGTTAGTGGCAAAGTCATTTTGCTGTTGCTATTGCTAAACACTTGGGAATCTGAAAAACTTGCTGACCGGCTCCAAGCTACTGTCTTGGTTTGCACAGAATGCTGGCTAGCCCTGCAAACCACAGACAGAATGCTTGTGCAGTCCGGCTTGTTTAAACAATGACTGAGTTCAGACAAAATAACCCCTAGTCAGAGGTTGAGTATGGGTTGAAACATGGGGCATCTTTGAAATGTAAGTCATCATGTTGTCTGATCCCAGCCATGCAAACAAACCATGGTTGGTTAACCATGAGCAATCCATCAATAGAGCTCATGGCTTGTTGTTGGTTTGTAAACTGTGAAGTATTCATAATTAACGTAACATTATCCTATAGAGGCAGCGGGTGAGTTTTATTTTCCACTTTGGTTTGTTTGTTTATTTATTTAAAACATTTCTATGCTGCCCCCATCGCAACAAAGCCTCGGGGCGGCTCACAATATACATAAAAATACAATCAATAATTTAAAAACTGGCACCATCTCAGCTATATATTAAAATCTATAAATACAATAATAATAAATTAACAGTTAAAATAACTTATAAATAAAAAGGTCTTCGCCTGGTGCCGAAAAGCAAATAATGACAGCGCCAGGCAGACCTCTCTAGGGAGCGCATTCCTTAGGTGGGGCGCCACCGCAGAAAAGGCCCTCCTCCGGGTACTCACCCTCCTAATATCCTTCACGGAGGGTTCCCGGAGAATGGCCTCTCCCGCTGATCTCAAGGGGCGGGTGGGCATATATGGACGTAAGTGCTCCTTCAGATAACCAGGACCCAAGCCGTTAAGGGCTTTATAGGTCATAACCAACACCTTGAATTGGGCCCGGACTTCAATAGGGAGCCAGTGAAGCTGACGGAGAACTGGGGTTATATGAGAACAACGCTCAGTCCCTATCAGCAATCTGGCAGCTCTATTTTGCACCAATTGAAGTATCCGGATTGTCTTCAAGGGTAGCCCCACGTAGAGCGTGTTACAGAAATCTAGTCGGGAAGTTACCAATGCGTGGGTCACTGTCGGCAGGCAGTCGTTCTCCAGATAGGGACGCAGCTGATGGATCAGCCGGAGTTGAAGGAAGGCGCTCCTCACCACCGCTGTCACCTGAGCTTCTAATGACAGCTCAGGGTCGAGGAGCACTCCCAAGCTGCGAACCCTGTCCCTCAGAGGGAGTGCAACCCCATTTAGGACAAGGCCCAAGTCCCCCACCCCGAAGCCCAATCCACCTACCAACAGGACCTCTGTCTTGTCTGGATAGAGCTTCAGTTTATTGGCCCTCATCCAGCCCATTACCTCAGCCAGGCACCGGTTCAGCACAGCCACTGCCTCACCTGGATTGGTGGAGAACGAGAGGTAGAGCTGGGTATCATCAGCATACTGATGACTCCGCAGCCCACACCTCCTGATGACCTCTCCCAGCAGTTTCATGTAGATGTTAAATAGCAAGGGGGACAAAATGGACCCCTGCGGAACTCCATGGCATAACTGCCATGGCACAGAGCCATAGTCCCCTAGCACCACCTTCTGGAATCGGCCATTGAGA